CCGAGAATGCGTCCATGAAACTAAGCAAGGCATGGCCACTTGTTGAATCGACTAGCTGATCGATCCTCGGCAAGGGATAGAAATCCTTCGGACAAGCCTTATTTAGGTCCGTGAAGTCAACGCACATCCTCCAGGTACCATTGGCCTTCTGAACCATCACCACATTTGCCAGCCATTCTGGATATTGGCAAGGCTCGATGAAGCCTGCCTCCAGCAATTTTTTGACCTCGGCTGCGATGTCTCGGTTCTTATTAGCGGAGTAATTCCGCTTCTTTTGCTTAATTGGTCGACATGTTGGGTCAACATTAAGCTTATGGGAGATGAGGTCTGGACTTATCCCGGGCATATTAGCTGCCGAAAAAGCAAACACATCTCTGTTGTCCCGAAGGAGCTGAATAAGTTCACAACGGGTGTTCGGATCAAGGTCCATCCCGATTGTTACACATTTCTCAACGTCTCCTTCGGCCAACTCAACTGTTTCAGTCTGTTGGTCCATGTCCATTGCTGATGGACTGGACTCTTCAGAATCTGGCCTGCTGCCTATGTCAGCAGGTGTCCCAGTCTTTTTGTTCTTCGGCTGACTCTCTGAGTCTTGCTGTTCAGCTGAAGAGCTAGCCTTTTCCCTTTCGGGCCCTTTACCTCTGGGTACAGATCCTTGGGCCGAAGCACTTAGGCCTTTCGGCTTTTTTGTGCTTGGCTCCCTTTCTTTTTCTTTCTCCTCCTCATCCTTGTCGTCATCTGGGCGACTACTGGATGGCTTAAGGTAGTTGCACCTTCGGGCGTCCTTTTGGTTGCCCTGTATCCTTTCGGGGAAGCAAGCGTCTGAGACGTAAATCATCAGCTGATGATAAGTTGAGACGACCCCTTGGATCTCATGAATTATGGGTCTCCCCAAAATCACGTTGTACACTGAAGGAGCGTCAATGACCAAAAATTCAATCATGACGTTCCTGGCTGCCTCATCGCAGCCGATGGTGATAGGAAGTGTCACCTTCCCTTCTGGATAAGTTGAAGCCCCGTTGAACCCGGATACCGGGTAGGGTACCGGCGTAAGGTGCTTGGGCTTCAGCTTGATTTGATTGTAGGCCTTTCGGAACAGAATGTTTGCTCCGCTGCCACCGTCAACAAGGACCTTACTGACGCCGTGGTTGGCCACCGTGGCGATGATCACCAACGGATCCTCGTGAGGGAACGTTATCCCCCGGCAGTCGGCGGCTGTGAACGTCATGTTCGGCACCGGCGATTGGGGAGACTGAATGTCAGCGTTGTTCACCTGGTGAGTCAAAGCCCTAAGGTGTCGCTTGTGCTCCCTCCGAGAGCATATTCCTCCCGAGATAACATTGATCGGAGAGAATTTCCCCTCCGGCTTTTTACTGTTCTTCCGGGGGAAGTCGAGGTCTTGCCGAGAGTCCTTTGCTGACTTTTTCGGACTCTTTTTTCTCGCGGTGATCCGCGATGTATTTTTTCAAGTATCCCTTCCGGACCATGTCCTCTATCTGGTCCTTCAGTTGGATACACTCCTCAGTGTTGTGTCCCGGAGATTCGTGGAACTCGCACTACTGATTTTTATTTTTTCGCTGATACCACTCAGGGAGTGGTTTCGGCTTTCGGTAACTCTGCTCCTCCTTCGTCACGCTGTAAATTTTGGCGCGTGGAAGAGAGAGCGGAGTGTAGGACTCGTATCTGCCTGTGTATGAGGCAGATTTTTCCTTCTTTGGGTCGCTGGCCGAAGATTGCTCTGAGGCCTTTGAATTTCCCTTTGCCTTATGGCCTTGGCCTTCAGACAAGGGTATTTGTCTTTGTTTCCCTCCCCCGAATTGAGGTTGGGTTTTCGCTTTGTTCCATTCTTCGGCTCGGATGAACTTATCCGAGGCATTCAGAGCTTCCTCCAAGGTCTGCGGGGTATGCATGACCATGAAGTCTAGGAACTTCCCGGGCTGAAGGCCATTCTGCATTGCAAAAACGGCTAGCCCCTGGTCTAGCTGAGAGACGCTGGATGACTCGTTATTGAAACGGGTCAGATAGTCTCGGAGGCTTTCGGTTTCCCCCTGTTGCAGACTCATGAGTTCTGCAGTAGTCTTCTCTCGGCGGTTTGCCGTGGAAAACTTGCTCCTAAATTTGGAGGACAGATCATCCCACCCTGTTATGGAGCCTTGCTTTACTCCCTTGGAGATCCACGCTTGCGCGACCCCCTTGAGAGTGGTTGGGAAATATTTGCACCAAGTCACTTCGGATCTGGGGCAAAGATGCATATGAGTCTCATACGAGGCCACGTGGTCCTTCGGATCCGAGGTCCCGTCATATGTGATGTGCGACGGTATTTTAACCGTGGGCACGTGCTCTTCCAGCATCCATTGCTCGAATGGCGAACTGGCGGGTAGCATAACGGCCTTGCCCTTGTTCCTGACCGAAGGGACCGCGCTCCGCCCTCTTAGAGAGGTAGGAGTGGTTTTCGTCCCTGGCTGGGAAGTTTGGGCCTCGGCCGCAGGGAACGAGAGGCGACTGTGCACGCTCGGTTCCTTGCCGCCGAGTCGGTCGAGGACGCTTCGGCGAACAGTCTCAGGTTGTTCTCGATGAGTAGATTCTGGCCGAGAAGCTGAGCTGCTGCTCTTATGCGTTTCTGGTCGGGAGGATGAGGATCCTTTGAAAAATTGAGGGTTCTTTTTCCTCTCTTTTTCAGTTTTTCAGGTATCCTCTTCCCACTCTCCCAGTTCCCAGGAGGAAGGAAGCTTCCCACCATCACGGTCTAGCTTCCTCCGTTGACGCCGGGTATGCGGAGGAGTTCGATCACGAGGTGGTGGCATATTTTGTGCCCTCATTGCCTCCATGAGCACTGCCAGCGCTCTTGCCACCTCCTCCGAGCTGGGCCCCGCCAAAGGGGTCCTCGGCCGAGTATGGGAATGAGAGCGCACAGTCGATGGTTTTCTTTGGGGCACTGAATGTGTCCTATGATCGGACTCACCCCTGCTAGACCGAGAGTGACTCGGCCTATGATGAGAGTTATGAATTACGAGAGAAAGGGAATCCTCCCTGTATGATCCTCCCCCCGAGCTGGCACCCTTGGGAGAGTTCCGGTCCGACGAGGGTGATGGTGTAGGGGTTTTAGGCTTTTCGCCTGCTCCTTGACGGAGGCCTTTGCTCTTGCGGTTCTTAGCCATTGCTACTAAGATTATTGCAAGATGATCTTGGTTAGAAATTTGGCTTAAAGATTTTTGAAAGTCGTCCCCACAGACGACGCCAAATTGTTTCGGGTGAAAACAATGGGACCTTGTCGAAGGTCCGATGAAGTGGAGAAGACTAGATTCGATCCAAGTAATGTTGGGCCGAAGGTTTCCTGCACAGTAAACACACGTAAACTAGCCTTGGGGGTGTTGCCGAGGAAGGCCCCTCCGATGCTAAAGTCAGTACAGTGTGTAGAAAGAGAACACTATGCAAGAGAATTAATTGCTTGAGGCTTTGCTTGAATGAATGTACAAATGTAATATTGATGGCTTTTATACCTTTGCATACATGGAGAAGTTGGGCCTTAGCCCAATTGGCTTGCCTTGAGGACTGATCTTTGACTTTAGCACAATTGGAGAGATGAACCTTGACCTTGGGCTTTTAATTGGATCATTTAATGCCTAGGCCCAATTGGACTAAATTGGACCCAAACACCATATAAGCAAAAAGAATCTCATATATATACATATTTTCGAACTAGAAAACACCCAAATCAATCCCGAAATTTGCTGAGGATTAATCGATCTGTGAATTTCCATACTATCACTGTAGTATCTGTTCTAAATAATATTTGAGCAGATTCTTTGAAGATTTTTCGTATGAAAAAGAGGAAGGGAATAATACTATGATTTCCTTCCATATTGCTTTTGGCCATGAGGAAGAACTGAGGATCTCAATACATTGTACCTTACTTTACAAAGAATAACTCCATACTCATGTACTAAGTAAGACTTGGTCTGATGAGAAAATTTACATCTCATAACTATGAGGCTTTGGGATGGAGATCCCTTACCCCCGCACTCTCAAAGGGTCTACTCCGTATCTCGCTAATTTGAACTGAGCAAAACTATGAGAGATTTCGACCTGATAGAAAATATACAAACCCATAATAACCAAATCTTACAAACAGGGATGTCCATAATTCGGATTAAAACCGAAATCCAATCCAATCCAAATCGAATTATCAATTCGGATTGGATCCAAACTTTAAATCAGATCGGATCAGATTGAGATTCTTTTTGGCTTGGATCGAATTAACCCCGAATTGGATCCAAACTAAACCAAAAACCAAATTGTAAAATTTAGCATGTATGAATATGGACTGCTGTAGTTGTTGCTCAAAGTTGCTGTTAAAAGTTGTTGCTGTTTGCTCTCTTAACCTACTGCCTTGTAGTTGTACTTGTGCATGGTGTTAAAATGTTAACTACTACTGTTGTAATGGACTAATGGTGTTGCCTTGTAGTTGTACTAGTTATTTTGAACTGTTTATTTTGACTTGATGTTAAACAATTTATGTTAATTATGACTATTTTCAAGATTTGTATTAACATTAAGGATCGGACAAAATGTTATTTTTATAATTGCATTTTTATTTTCATATCATTGTATTAGACACCAAAATTTTATGTATTTTAATTCGGACTTTCGAATCGGATCCAAATTACCGAATTTCAATTCGGATTGGATTTGATTGGATTGGGAGAGTAATTCGAATCGGATCGAATTAAAAAATTAAAAATCGAATTATATTTCGGATTAGACTTAATTCCAAACCGAAAACCGAATGAACACCCCTACTTACAAAAACCGTCTCAATACATAGGACCCTACTATACAAATCCCTCTCAATAAGGTAAACCAAACTCCAAACTCATAAATGTGGTACTCCAATCATGCACATGAATAACATGATAATTAATACTAATATAAGTAGTTTAATTCTTGGGCTATCATGTGTTACACCATGTGGCCAAATCACTGATAAATCCAATATCACATCAACCCAATATGTGTACATTACCAATTTTGCCGTTTTGCGCGCTTCCATTATCACTGCTACTCATTTTTATTTCCTTGTTACTATATATATGTATATATATATATCCTTCGCAAATGCTAAGAGATTGATTGACTCACTTCCATACTGTCTGACAAGCGGCTAAAGTTGATTTGCAGAGAGAAATCTCAGTGACGAACTCCGCTATTCGACGACGTTAATCCAAGGTAAAGGTTTCATTATTGTCTTTTGCTATCAATGGTTGAAAGTTTTTTGTTGTTTTGTTTTTGTACAATTGCTTGATTGTTTTATTGTTTATTTATTTTATTTTATTTTATTGATTGTTGATTTAGATCTGTGTTTGGTTTGATTCAATTATTGGTTTTGGTTTTCTACTAGAATTTGGGATTTTGGTGGAATTTTGAAGTGAATTGATTTGATTTTAGTGTTTTGGTTTTGAATTTGATTCAATTGTAACGGTCGTTGATTTTGGAAAATCAGATTTTTTTTTTATTTGATTGAACGTGTTATATTTTGTTATGAGAAGTTTATGATTTTTGCTGAATTTTGATTTTTAGGTCCAGTTTGTATGAAGTTGAATTCAGTAAGTTGAGGATTTAGGAAAAGGAACTACTAACGTTTAGTATAATTTGATTTAAAATTTTTTGATTAGGGTGTTTTAAATTTTCTGATAAATATATATATATATATATTTTTTTGATTGAACGAGAAGTTTTTGATTTTTTTTTTTCTGAATTTTATATTTTGGTATGGTTTTTTATGAGGTTGAATTGAGGAAAAGGAATAAGGAGCTTTTGATATAATTTAATGCTAAATTTTCTGATTAAGGTGTTTTTGCTATAAAGTTGTTTGATTAGGGTGGAACGATGAAGAACTCATTGTCTGATCATTGCTTAAATTACATTGAGAGTGATGAAGAAAATGAAGAAAAAGTATCAAACCTTGATGAAGATGATGGTACCTATTCAGATTCTTCGTCGCATTCGTCCATGGAATTCCGGCAGCAAAGCAAACCCAATTCATATACTACTTCTTGGCCTCAGAGTTATAGGTAATCTTTTGTGTAAATTTATCATAAATAGTTTAAGTCCCGTGCATTGCACACGATCATTTTCTGACTTATATATATATATTTTTTAATTTTAACTATAATTAATAGTCAATTTAATAAGATCTAATTTTTGTTTTACAGATTTAATTTGTATGTACTACACTACTACCTATACTCCATATTAGATGACTTATTTGAATGTTTATACTATTCACATAATCTACTTGACTATCCATGGTGATTTATCCAAAGAAAATAACAGTTATATGAGATTTATTAGATTCATGTCAATCTAAGATACAAAATTCCTTAGCATATTCTAAAGGATTTTTTTTTTTTTTTTTTTTTTTTTTTTTTTTTTTTTTTTTTTTTTTAAGGCATAAGAATAATAATTATAATAATCTAGATCTACCCTGTTTTTGGTTTTATTGTGAGGGCTATTTATATGTTTTTGATTGATTTGTCTAATGTGATGCTTATATGTCCTTGTAATTGAATTTCAGGCAGTCCATTGATTTGTATAGTAGTGTGCCATCTCCAAATATTGGATTTCTGGGCAATTCTCCTTTGTCAAGGTTTGGTAGTTCATTTCTGTCTTCATCATTAATTCAGAGGCATGCTTCTGACGTAACAAAACCTCTCCTACCAACAACAGCGGATGGCCAACACCACCATCAAAAGCATAGCTCTCACTCTCTTCTTCCTCCTGTCCCATCAAGGAAGCCTTCTTCTTTAAAGAAGGTAGATTCTGAGTACAAACCGTCTATCATATCACATGAGTTTCATGCTACTCCTGATAGCACATTTGGACAAGCTGTAATAAATGGTGAGTACTTCAATTACATTGCCGTCTGAGTTCATTTATTCACTTGTCTTTTTCTCGGTCTGTGTATGTGTATGCTGATGAAAATATCTAGGCCCGTGACTTATATCAGAATGAACTTGATTTTTTCTGTTTAATATAATTTTTTTTTGGCAATGTAATCTTGTCTCCTTGAATATATTTTCTTGGTTGATTAAAAAACTTTCTGTTTTAATTGCAACAATGGGATACAATTCCCAATGCACATTATATATTAATTTCTCTATTATACTCTACTAAATAATTAAAAATTAATATGTTGAAAGTACGAGTCTATATGAAGATGAATCTAACAAGACCCCCACATGACTATGTTTTTCCTAACTTATAAAGCACAAATGATGGTCAAAAGAGTTTGTCCGAATAGTGTTAAATTTTTAACGTTACAGCAGTGGCGGTTCCAGAAATTGCTCGTTATGGGTTCGGACTCTCCAAATAAATACAGGGATATCAAATATCATAATTCAAAATAAAATTTGCATTTCTTAATTCGGAATACATGTCAATTACAACAACATAAAAAAGCAAGTTTTAATAAATTACTTCCTTCGTTCTTTTTTACTTGACCCGCTTTGACTTATACACTATTCACCACCCGTCCATTCACCGTCTATTGTGAATTATATGCAAGTAAAAACATATTCATGTGGGATCTTTTTCAATAAGTACTATCATAATATATAACTTTTATAATTTTGACTTATGGGGAATTATAGTTATAAATTGTTAAAATTCTGCATTGGCAAGCGTGATAAATGAAATAGGTCAAATAAAATAGAACAAAAGAAGTACAATTGAACTCAACGAGTCTTCATATTTTGAAAGTGATCTATTACATCATCATTTTTAACTAGGAAAAACATATCTTTCTCAACAAATGTGACCAAACATATCTATTACAGATTCATAAATGACAAATCAATGAAATCACAATTTCAATTAACAATTTGCAATAAAAAAAAAGATAAATAAATAAATATAAAACTAAACCTGAAATTCTGAATTGTCGAACTAAAGAGCAGAAGAGAGAGAAGGTGAGCAGCCAAAAAAGAAGGAAAAAAGAGGTGTTGGGTTTTGAACCCCTGACCTTCGTCCTAAAAAGTAAGGATTTAACTAGTAGGACTCGCGTTGCATAGTGAAAAATATGCGCAGAGTTTAATATTTATACCTATTTTTTTTTCTTGAAAAAAAACCTATTCGTTTTTTTTGGATCCAGTATGGGTTTAGCTGAACCCCCTGAACCCATACTGGAACCGCCGCTGCGTTACAGGTTAATAAAGAATGGAGGAAGTATATTTTTAAAGTTTTAAAGTTGGAATTAACTCTAAGAGGATTTGTGGTGTGATTCATGTTAGACTTTTGATCCAACTCTTATAATGCTTAGATTATATGATCTGATTTGCTTATAACTTGTATTTTAGGTATAATCTACCATTGGTACCATTGGTAATGTTGTTGTCGGGTCTGTCAATATTAATTAGATATCAAATCTTTGGTAGGATCTTGATTCTTTTCCTTATTCTAACAAATCCTGTTGGGATGCTTTAAAGCTGATTTGAAATTTGTTTAAGCACTTATTTATACAACTAATAGACGTGGTTATCAAAGTTGCAATTTTTCTTGTTTGATCAAGAAATTTGTATAAAATCCTCGGTTATAAATGTCTCGCACTCTCGCTATCTTCTGCTTACAAACATTGATGAACCTTTATCAAATATTGAAGGCTGCACATCTTTTAGTCTACTCTATTCTTGATGGTTTTCCTATGCAGGTAAGGTGATAAGATCTGAAGAGTAATAGTCTTTTAAGATTTTCACGTACTTTATTGTCACAAACTATCTAAAATGTGCGAATCAAATGTTATATATTTGAAATACTACTGAAAGTCATTTATTCTGATACTTTAGGATAGTTAATCTAAAGCCTCAAGAGATGTAATAATTATTTCTTACAATGTATACGCGGTTGAGGTACATATAGATCCTTCTAACAGTATGTTTATAGAGCAAGATTATCGTATTGGGTAAAGCTTTATTGGTGGCGACATCAATATATCTTATTTATCATTAGCTCTGTTGAAGATTTTTAGGCATATATTCAAGCTGTATACCTAGGATATTAAAGAGCCAGTAGTCCTTTTCTTTCATGTATTTCAATCTTTTTTTCTGTTGAAGTGCTTTATTTGCATTCAGTTGGTTGACAAGTATAGATCTTAGTTATGTTTCCCACTTTGATGATCTAACCTTTAAACTAAATCACCTTAAAAGCATATACTTAAGAAAGTTAATAACTTGTGGGTATAATGATATTTTACAGGTGTGAATGTTTTATGTGGAGTAGGAATACTTTCTGCTCCTTATGCTGTTAAGCAGGGTGGATGGCTTAGCCTTTCCATACTACTTGTCTTTGCTATTCTCTCTTTCTACACTGGACTTCTTTTACGTCATTGCTTGGACAGTGCTCCTGGATTGCAGACCTATCCAGACATTGGTCAAGCTGCATTTGGCAGTACAGGAAGAATTGTAATCTCGGTATTAATTTCTTTTCAGTTCTTTCCTTTTTGAACTATTGCAACACAAATCATCTGTGAATATACCAATGTGGATTCGTGGAGAATTTACTTAAAGAACATATTTTCTTGTTAGTGATGATTGAAATTGCAAAATGCAGCAGTAAAACAGCTAACTTTGAATCGCAACGAACAACTAGACTTGTTAAGAATAGACCTAAGTTGACTAAATCCTTGAAAAACTAAAATCAGAAAATGACAAGAATTCAAGAAAGATGAATTAAGAGCTCAATGTCATGTAATAATCTCTTTGGTTATTTGCAAAGCAACCCATGTACCATGCACCACTCAACAAAACCTCACTGTTAAGCCCATTGAGGCTTTCTCCACGCTTGACGCTACCTTGTGCCCAACAATACACAAGCAAGCACACACCTTTTTTATAGCTAAATGTTTAATTCTTTTCAAAAAAAAAAAAAAATATGATTATTTCCTGACTGTTTTCCTTTCATTTCTGGCATGCAGATTATATTATACATGGAATTATATGTAAGTACAGCTGTTCAAGAACAATTCTGTATTATCCTCCTTTAAATATAAGTTGCACATATGTTTTATTTGTTGCTAGCTTGTACTCATATTATCTTTCCCGGTTCTCTTTATGTACTCTGCTGCTCGACTAGCTATTCTGAATAATGTGTATATATATATATATATATATATATATATATATATATATATATATATATATATATATATATATATATATATATATATGTTTCTCTTTTTTTTTTTTTTTTTTTTTTTTTTTTTTTTTTTTCTTATAGATTTAGGCCCTATTCTTTCTATCTTATTTTTTCTGAACTCAAATTACTTTTACTAACTTAAATTATTTTTATTGATTAAAACTTATTTATAATGATTTTCTATTATATTTGCTCTTTGAATTTAATGATTAGAACTTATTTCTGCTGAACTTAGCTTCGTTTTATTAATTTGATATTATTTTTACTTTGTATATTTTTTGAATAAGGTGAAGGGAACAGAGCCTTAGTTGGTTCTACAATTGTTGCAGTTTGTAAGATTGTGTCCTCTTTCTTTGTAATTTGCTAGTGTGTGTTTTTTGTTTGTTTGTTTGTTTGTTTGTTATGCTTGTAACTTTCAATCTCATGCTGGTTGTACACAATAACATTTGTTTCTATATATTGGTAGAGTTTTTAAGTCAAGACTTGTAAATGGTCGAAAAGTCAACCTGGAATTACAATTGTGGGTGGTGGAAGTTTTTTTTATGGGTGAGGAAGGGGTTGGGTTTCTTCATTTGCATGGAGTTCCAATAAATAGAAGTGGAAAGTTTATTTTATATACTACCTCCATTACATATTAGTTGCAACTTTGGGTAATATTTGTGAGAGATAAAATATTCCAAAGCCGCAACTAATATGTAACAGAGGTAGTATGTGTTTGATTCTATCCAGGAGATTTGATGTATAATTGTATTTTCTTTGTACAGGCATGTTGTGTTGAGTATATCATATTGGAGAGTGATAACTTATCATCAATATTCCCATATGCACATTTAAATCTGTTTGGTTATGAACTGGATTCCCACCTCCTATTTGCATTAGCAGCCACTCTTGCTGTACTTCCTACTTGTTGGCTGCGTGATCTTAGCCTTCTGAGCTACATATCAGGTTAGAATGTTAGCCATATCATTATTTTCTTTATAAAATGTTTATACTTCCTCCGTTTTCATTTACTTGCAACACAGTCTTGTGGCACGTGTTTTGATAAATTATTCAAAATAATTTGTACGTATGATACCTAATCCTACTCTAATCCTCGTGTTAAAATTATATTGATAAAATCGCTCATTTACCTTCACTAGTCATCTCTTAAAACTGCGTGCCTAAAAGGTGTGTTGCAGGTAAAAAAAAAACGGAGGATGTATTATTTTTGAAGTCCATGCAGTGAACATGTTATAAACAATGTGACTGAGTTATCGATCATAATTAGGTCTATAAATAATTTTCATTTCATCTTAGCCTTGATATTTGTAAAACGACTTTTATGTATCTATGTCAATAGTGGTAGGGCGTCATGTTGTCTATATACCATGTTTGGTTAAGTGTTGAACTAGTAACTTCCTTAGATTAAATGTTACATATTAGTATTAAATAAGATTTGAACTAATAGTAAAGGATACAAATAAGAAATAAATCCATTCATTAATGAATAGTATAGCAAAAACTATGTTGGCTATATCAATGATTAATGTGCGATTTACCTTTTTGTAAATGTCTAAATTTACTTTCCTTAAAAAAAAAAAAATGTCTAAATTTACTTTGAAATGGGAATGTGTATAATAAAATAAATGATACTTGCTTTGGCAGTTTGGAAGCAAGACTCCTAATTGCTATTTGAGCTATATGGCTACATAGGAGTTATGGTTTTATATTGTGTCATAGCATTAAAATATATTTCTCTTCCATGCGAACTTGACTTCTTAACTACCTGAGGTCTGCCCTCAAATGATCGTCATGCATTCTATTAAAAAAAAAGTAATAAAAAAATTGAAAAGATTAGAAAACTCCGCGAACTCTCTTTATATCTTATGTGGTGCGGGATGTCCAACAATTTTATCTCCTTCGATCAAATTTCTTTATTCTTAAACTTCTATAATCTATCAAAATACCACACTGCCCCACTATTACTCTTAATTTGCACAACTAATGGAGCATTTGTGAACATTTAGGCTTCCAATACTTGAAGTCTACTTTTTATTTCAATATATTGTTGGATGTCTTTTATACTTCCTCTGTTCTCTTTTAATTGCAACGTGGAGGTATGTACGGTTTTCTAGGAGGAGAGAGATAGGGAGTAATAAAAAGAAAACCCATCTAATGAGGAGAGGGATAGAGAACATCTATTCAAATCTTCAATTTCCATTTGGAAAATAAGGTTATCTCAATACCTTCTGAAAGATTTTGTGCCCATGTTATTTGGTCACAACCCTGCATCTCTTGTCTAAGCATCTAATCAAAATTATAATGTGAACATTTCTTAATGAAATAATGCCGTCTAATGCTGCAATATGTACTTGTAACGTATTTATCAATTCATTCCAGAAAAATATCACCGTACTTTATGTCTTGGCTAGATCACACTATATATGCCTCTAATATTGAAATGGAAGACCTTTGCTTTTTTCTCTCAAGTCATTGTGTTTTTTTCAGTGAGTTTGTTTATTAATCTTTTAATATTTTGTATGGAAACAGGTATCTAGGGATGAAGGAGGACTATGTATACTGGGATGCCTTTATGATGTCCATTAACTTATGAAGTTGCCGATGTATTAAGTGTCGATCCATCAAACTTATTCACTGTTTACTATTTCATGGTTTTCAGTTGGCGGGGTCATTGCATCAGTATTGGTATTCCTATGCTTGTTTTGGGTTGGCTTGGTAGATCAAGTCGGTTTTGTTAGCAAAGGATCACAACTAAATCTATCAACTCTTCCTGTTGCAATTGGTCTTTACGGATATTGCTACTCAGGACATGCTGTTTTCCCTAACATTTATACTTCTATGGCAAATCGAAGCCAATATCCCGCTTTTCTTCTAACCAGGTAACTTTCCCTCTCTATTTATACTAAGGACTATTAACCTAGTAAACTAATATTAATAGAATACCCATACTCCCTCCTTAGGTTAGTTCATTACAGAGACTTTTGCTTACATTTATGACCTGCTCAATTTATGTTAGCAGATTGATTGGATGAGGACCAGGCAAGCACTTGTGTGGATTTTGAGATCAATACGGCTATTTAGTGGTTTCCTCTGTTTTTTTATCTAATTTTAATGCATGATAGAAAACAAGAAATTGAATTTCAGCTTTTCATAATTCATGAAACACTAGGTAACAGAACTTAGAATCACTAAATAATCATCAGTTGCTAGCTGTTACATGATCACAGAAGCTATTATTGTCTCTTACTATATTCACTATGCTTAAGAATGTACTCCTCCCATCTTCTAATCAATTGTCATTGTTTCTTTACTTGGCTGTTTTGTACTCATTCAATCTTTTACATAATTTAAGAGTCATTTTTCCACTTCTCACCACAACACTCTAATCAATGAATGGAGCAATTCAATGCATTCTCTCTCTCTCTCTCTTTTTTTTTTTTTTTTTTTTTTTTTTTTTTTTTTTTTAATAATTTTTGTAATTTTTTTTAATAACTTCCTCTTTAACTTCCACTACTCTCACCAGGCCACATCACTTGAAACTCCAATCCTTAAATTTTGTGCGTTCTTTTTTTTTTTTTTTTTGGGCAATAACTCCATTTAAAAAAAAAAAAAAAATCTATAACTTCCACTTAATTTACATCTTATTATTACTGATAGTATATTTGTAAGTTAGATTTTAATATGGTAATTGGATTGAAAGTCAAGATCTAATGCTTTGAGAAGTAACAATTAATGTTGTTCTTTCTTGATATAATATAATTGAATGTATCCCGCTAGAGTTTAGATAGAAAGCTTTGAACACTATTTTAGGATCTTAAACACACAATATTCTTAAATAGTGTACTCTTTGCATTACTTTCGAAGAATATCCTCCATTCATGGACTTTTAGTTAGTGCTAGTCGAGTCAAGTGCAAATTTAATTTAGGATATTGCAATTAAATGCTTATTTCATTGTGTTCCTTATAGAAATGTCTTTTTTGTATAAATTTATTTGCCAGTGTTCTCACCATTTTGGACTTCAGTACCTTAGACTTTATTCCTTTCACTTGAAAAACCTATATTTGAATTTATCAAAACTTATCAGAACTTTTATGAACTTCTTCTAGATTAGTTTTAGGCAACTTTTATTTGAATTTAGTGGACTTTATCCAAAATTATCATAACTTGTTAAAACTTATCCTTTAACTTATTATTTTGAGGTGAAAAGAACAAAGTTCTGGATGATGCAAGCATGATAAGCTACCTGTTATAAAATACCTCATCTAACATTTATGAGGGTCTTATTGATGGTGACCATATGTATTGTTTGCAAGATGTAGCTTGTGTGACAAGAGTGATAACCTGACTAAAGGTTCTTTCTGATATAATTGGAACTGTCTCTATGAGTTTCAGCATGTAATTGTCTTATTATATTTGTGGTCATGTGAGAATCAATTTCAATTGTTATGTAGTAGTGTATTGTTTGGCCAACAGATTTGCATCAAGTGGGGTGCAATGCAGTTTAGTCTAGCGGCTGTAATAGTGGCCACATTGAGCCAAATGATGTTTTATGTCTATTGAATAGGATTATAATATAGACTAACCAAGAGACTTTATGGCTGATGCAGCTTTATGATCACTACTTTAATGTGTGCGGGAGCTGCTATTGTTGGATACCTGATGTTTGGAGAATCAACAGAGTCACAGTTCACCCTTAACATGCCCTCAAATTTGGTTGCATCTAAGGTGGCCATTTGGACTACGGTATGGAATTTATGCAGTCTATCTATTTTTCTGTTATTGATGTAGTTTCGAAAGAGGACTAGAAACACATAATGGAAGGATCTAATCATGTGATTCACCAAGTTATTATACTGTACTTAGGTATATATTGACAAAATCTTTAATAATAAGAAATTTTGATGCAGATAAGATACTTATGTGAATCACTTTTTTCATAATCTTTTTTGCAAAATAAATTCTGTTTTGTGATACATATGTAATAGTCCTTCATGTAAAACTATTATATAATTTAACAATTGACATTAGTATGTCCACAAGCTATGCACATAATTGAATAGAGAAAATGAATAAGTGAGGGTGAAGGATAGTGGGTTAAGATATAATAGAGACAGGAAACAAAAGAGTGAGGTTGGGAATAGGCATTTAACAACCTAATGATGATGTATTAAAGTCCGAAAAAAAAAAAAGAAACGTAAACTTCAGAACAAAGTACAGTTTTTCTGGATTTGAGACTTGGTAGATAGGCAGCCTAGGTGAGGATCACATTGACCCCAAAATTTGTACACTAACCACCCTATGAAAAACCCAATGAAATTTGTCTAAAATAAAATACAACATTTCAGGTTCCCCCAACTCCAACCAACACAAGCTAATTAAAATACAACGTTTCAGATTCCTTTGTACAAAAGTGATGCCTAAAATATTGATCCTATGAAATTTTGCATCGTTATCTCTATCCAATAGATTGGTCACTAGGAGCATCATCCCAGTACAAAAGCATAAACCAATAATGAATACTAAATGTCTTGATAATTTGGCCTAAATAGCAGCACATACTTTCAACTGTGAATCTTATACATATGTATATAAAAAGTTGCTGACAGCTGATTTGCCTACTAGTATGGGCAGACCATGATGGATCTAGCCACCTTTCTCCTTCTACATGCAGAGTCATTGAGTTGCTGTTAGGCAAAATTCTCTAATTGAATGAACTAGTCGATTAAAAAGATTTGAACACTATAAGCCAATTCTGTAAAACATAAAACATCAAATTTCATGCAAGAATGGAAGAACATTGTTGAGAGGAATTGTGAAAGGAATCTCGTTTAATATGTAATTAATCTCCAAACCATATGAACCAAAACAAACTGATACAAACGGAAATGCATTTCATAAAGAAAGCACCAAGAAATTTGTCTAAAATAGGCATATTTACAACACGTTTAATCAGCTACAACTGTTCGACAGATCTGAGACTACATAAACTAGTGGAGGTGGCAAAAGGGGGGGTGGGGTCTTAAGTTTTGTTTCCCTCATGCCTTCAAAAGAGTAAAACTAAATTATATGCTGTACTGAAAGATTCATCTTAAGTGGCTGGTAATAGAAAATACATTGCCACTCTTGGCTCATTCTCTCCACTTGTCACAACATCCTGCCCCTCAATCAGTATTGATCCCACCATTGGGGATTTAGGCCATTTAGCAGAATACTGAGTGTAATTGTAGTACTCTATTACATACGCTTCTGTCATTTCTTTTGTGTGTTCGGAATTGTTATAATGCTACATTAAAAACTCCGTTAAACTTTCCAAATTTTAGTCTATTACTCTATATTCTAAAATCTGCAATCTATGCAATTAAAGTTTGAATCATTTTTATTTGGGGAGAGGAAGTATATCATAGATTCGTATAATGACATTAAATAAATTGATTTTCCTTGATTGTCCAACTGTATTGGTAGATGTAGAAAATCTTTGCATTGCCGTAATAATTAAACTTTACTAAGATACCTATTCATCTAAATTACGCAATGCTTCAATAGCAGTGCTACAGTTTTATTCTGGGATGCTTATTATGATTAGCCTTTTTCTATTTACTCATCAATTCTGATTTTCTAATCAACATTCATATAATTTATTTTTTTATTAATTATTGTGGTTATACTGTAAATTATTCCTCAATGAGAGTATTGACAATGTTTCCTTGTTCTGATTGCAGGTGGTCAATCCATTTACAAAATATCCTTTGCATTAGCTATTTCAAAATTTAGTGCAGTGTTTTACCCTACGGAAAAAGACATCTTTCATTGTTATTTCCTTAATAATAGCCACATACGCTTTGACCATGTCGCCCGTGGCTATGTGTCTGGAGGAGTTGATACCATCTCGCCACCTCAAATCTCATATATACCCAATTCTTATCAGAACTGCTCTGGTGATATCAACCTTATTGGTTGGTCTCACTATACCATTTTTTGGTAAATTTTTGCACACTGAAGTTATATACTCCGTACACTCTGTATAAGATCATTGTTTTGTCTGTTTCCAAGAAATATCATGAAATAAAATGGAATTTCAGTTATTTATGATTCCTTATCTAGTGATAATTATCTTCCTGGGATAATTTTGCTTCTCTTATAAAACAATATTGCAGGTCTTGTAATGGCATTGATTGGATCCTTACTAACAATGCTTGTGGTAAGCCCTTTCACAAAAAGATTTCTGTTCTTTTGTGATGCATTATTTTGGTCAACCTTTAATAAAAATAATAATAAAGCCTTTATATGTGTCATATGTCATTTGCGAACTTCATTTTCTTTGTTCTTTTAGCTTGTTCCATGTTTGGAGGTCATTTAATGGGAGTTAGGAATCTTAGTTGTATGAGAATGGGAATCTTAGTTGGAGAGAGAAAAAGAAATTTTGGGAAGTGAGGATCAGGATATCTTAACTTCTTAAGATAGTAATATTTATGCTCTATTAAGGACTAAAGGAGTGGAACATAATAAAATATGTTCCCAAACCTAAAAAATGTGAAGAGTATTGGATTAGTGGATAATGGTGTTTAATATTCAATAAATGAGTAAAGATGATTACAATATGTACATTATGAGTTCATACAATTTTTAAAACCTATTAAAAAAGAGGAAACTCTTGGAGAACGGTAGCGTCTCACAAGTTTTATCATTTGTTCCCTGTCACTCGTGTATACTTAACTGTAGGTATGAATATGTCAAATAATAATTTTACATTGTAAAGCATTAAAATCAAACTTATTAGCATCACATAGGCTTGATAACTTGTTTTTATAATTGTTGATCATAATGCATATACTGTATTATTTCTCCATGAAAGAAGGGATATAGGGGACTATCAAATGGTTGATACCATGCCATATTGATTGAAAAGTAATTTAACACCAAATGCATCAAATGATTAGCAATTGCAAAAAAAAACTAATAGATATTTTTGGCAGACTCTAATATTGCCTTGCGCATGCTTCCTAAGCATCTTGTGGGAAAAGGTGACATACATTCAGGTATGTTAAATACTTTAATCATTAGTATTAATACCAGTATTTGATGATTTAAGTTTCATGATTGTATTTATTACTTGATGTAAAGTTCTGGCTCTTGTCCTGCTCGATTTCTATCTTTACTGTTGATAATTTTTTTGAATTGGAGCTGACATGTGGTCTGCCTTTCATGAATAGATTTGAACAGGAAGAGTTTCCTTGTGAAGTCATGTTAGCATTTAGCCATCATTATATTCCCTTGCACCTAATTAATTTCTTCTATGGGGTGCTTTGTGCTTTATAATAATGGTTCTTTTACTGACTACCTAAAATTTGTATTAACTTCCCAAATCTTTATGTTAGATTTTCAGAGACATTGGACTTGTATAATAATTTAAAACAATGAACAAAATCACGTTAACAAATAACAAGCATAAGTACAGGTACAATATGGAAAGACTTTTAATTGGTTACACAAAGAAAGCCATTTACTGTTTTAAATCCGACCAGTAAAATTTTAAGGATCAATCTTGTCCATTAATTTGTTGATTTGTTTGACTATAGGCTATAGATCAATCAGTTCAGTTTCAAAACTTTTACGAATCATTGAAACATTGGCTCTGGTATGTAACCTATTACAACGAACAACTTTTGCTCTGATTTTTTTAGAATTGTTCTGAAACTTTTTAGAAAAATATAAAGGTGTGTGAGACTTCATCCCCTCTCTACACCTATTTGGGCACATTCTTTATGCTCCTTAATTCATCCTATTTAAATCCATGTAATAAATATAAGCATGTAGATATATTAATTTGTTTACGAACTTTCTTAATCATTGGAATGGGGGGTTTAGCTACATATGTTATTATTCCGTTAAAGTTCTATGTATTGGATTTGGATATACATCTTGATAGAGTTATGAGAAAGAGAATGTTGGAAAGCTTAAATTATATTATGTGATTCCATGAGTATATATAGTACATGAGTAAATAAAAGAGTACAACTAGGTACATTTGAGCATTTGACTATGTACGCTGGCTAAGAATTAGGGATATACTTTGACTATCAAAGTTAAGGAGTAAATCAAGGGATTTACATTTACTATAAACAGTAACTGATAATGATAATGATGATTTAGTCATCATTATCCTTTACACGCCCCTGCAAGACGAACGTCCAGAACGAAGGACCGATCTTGTATATAGTATTGCAAATCTTGTTCAATGTAGGAATTGAAGCGTAGGTGAGAAGGGTTGCTTTGCATTGTAATTTTTAGAGAGGGTTAGAGAGAGTTGAATGGTGGATGGTTTATTTTATTTATTTATTTATTTATTTTTATTTTTTTTTTGGAGATAAAGGTGTGTGGTGAGGAAGAGATTTTTTAATTTTTTTTAATGTAATATGAAAAGACAATGTATAGAGAATAAGGAGTAGCTTAATGGTTGTTTTTGACGGTTGTTATGACACTTGAACCATTGATTGCAATATTAAAATGAAGAATTTTGCTAGCGTGTGCTTGCAAATTATGAAAATAAAATATAGGGGTTCCTTCACTACCATTGAAGGCGAGATAGAAAAATCTAATGGTTGTTTAGGAGGGAATTTCACGTTTCTCCATAATGGTTTTGGAGTCCATAAGGGGTTTGGAGAAGTGAGTTTATATTTGGCAATACTTGGTAGATAAACTACGGGGTGCCGAAAAGGGATTGTTTCTCTGTAAGAGGTTTGGAGGGAAAAAAAATGATAAATAACATCTCTTGCTATATGAGAAACGGGGTGCCAAAAGAGTGGAGCGGAAGTTTTAGGTATGAAGCTTTCCGAGAATAAAGTTTGATATGGTCACCATCAATTGTTGGTGTCAGCAAAGGGTTTCGATGGTGTAGCCATGGATGTAATGAGGATGTAGTAGCGGAAGTGGGAAAAAAAATGGATCAATAGCTCATGATACGTCATAGAGTTGTGAGAAAAAGAATGTTGGAAAGCTTAATTATATTGATGAGTATACAAGAGTATATATAGTACAAGATTAGAGTATTGAACATAACAAAACTATGACTAGGTACAAGTACAATATATGACTAGATACGTTAGCTAATAAAAAAGATATACTTTGACTATCAACCTAAAGGAGTGAATCATGGGATTACACAATTAACACCAACTATAAACAATAACTAATAATTATAATGTTTACACATCTATAATTACACTATAATACCCTTTGAGAGTATAGTCAATGTTTATATGCTCTCTTTTGTAATAGGAGTCCCACTTGGGAACAGTCATCTGACTACCGAAAGAAATCATGCTGATCAAAGCTTCTGGTCATAACCGAAGAATCCTAACCATTTAAATTTTGGGCAATTAGCTTAGCCTCGGTCATATCCAAAAGTTGCACTTGGGTTTTCCATAGTCAGAAAAGCTCTAAAAGGCTGATGGATATCTGGGAACTTTTTCTTGACTTAAAAAATGTTGTAGTACAATAATTGTTCAATGATTATTACCATCTCTGGTTTCCTGAGTAATATGTTCTGGGCTTGAAAACTTCGAGAAATGATTTCAACTGAGATTGACTTGTGTAACAGTGTATGCTTGCTCACAGTAATGTGTAGCTGTATTTCTGTATTGTGTACTTGTGTGAGAACATGCACTTGCTCGTGTATGTGTATTCTTTCTAGGTAGCCTGCTGTGTTATGTTACTGGAGAAGAGTTATTCAGGAATCAAAAAGAAGGAAATACTAACATGAGGAATGCAATGTTTTGACAATCTATTTAGACTAATCTTAGCTCTGGTCATATTCTTAATATTCCCAAATTTGCTTATTTTCTTCTTTTCCTTTAGTAATTGTTTTCCATTTTTCAGGTGTCAGCTTGTGTTATGATTATTGCTGTTGGCGCGGTCTCATCGGCTTTTGGAACATATTCTGCTCTCTCTAAAATTATTGAGAGCTTGACATGAATTATTCAGATCCTGTATATTTCAATAAATTTTGATTACAAACTGCTAAGCAATTTTGTAACTTATATCTCTTACATTTAACTGTCATAGATATGAATCTTCCCTGCCTTAAGTTGGTCTCGGGTGAGTTGATTGTTATTACCTATTTGAGGTGGATTGCTATTTAAATGGTAAAATTTGACTCTGCTATCGCAATGTTCTTGCATATGTTGCTTTCCCCTTACAAAAAAAAAAAAAAAAAAAAAAAAAATTGTTCTTGCATCTGTTTAAATATCATATCATATTGTTTACACATATGAAGTATTAAATATGCGAGTTTGTCTTTTTACCTTAATTAATTTTAAAAAAAATTCTTTTAAAAATTTAATTGACATGGTTCTTTATCCTTTTTAATTATCCAATGTATAGTCAATAGTGTATCTTGATGTGTGCTATTGTACACTGACTGTTTAATATTGAATATATGTGATGTTATTTGACAATGTTTGAAAAATAAGAGGCGGATCTAGTAAATCTTTATGATTGACAAATTTTGGCAATTTATTATTAATATTGTAAATAGGTGCATTTTTTTTTTATGGGGAAAACCGCTACTTAAAATAGTGATTATGTTCTAAAACCGCTAATTGAAGTACTCTGTAGCAGTTTTGCCCATAAACAGTAAAAATAAAAAGTGCTCTTATTTACAATGGTGCCACTAGATTGACAAAATTTGTAAATCATAAAGATTAACAAGAATTTATCAAACAAGAATCTATACTATATACTAAGTAATCACCAGAATTATCTCTAAAGTACATGTGTCACATTCACAACAAAAATTTTCCCGCCAAAAACTTTTTATTTTCCTTTTCTCCAAAAAAATAACATGATAAAAAAGTTAATGAAAAAACTTAATATAATTTATAATTGTATCTATCTATACTTCTATACTTAGTATTTAAAAATACAAATCACAAATCATTTATATGCCACAAGTCATCTATAATTCTATATATGCCACATGTCACCTCCCTTAAAATTTCCTTTTTATATTCATTTTTTAATATAATTTATTTTAAACAAAAAATTTAATGTCCAAGTCTTTATGCATTTCATAACTTGCAAATATAAGTAAGAAAATGAAGTGTTTCATTTCCACCATAATAAAATAAAGGGATATTCTCAATGGAAACCCCCTATTATTGCTATGCACCAGTGATAACCCTTTTTTTTTTTTGGATTATACAAAATGATACTGCTTTTCTTTTTTCTCCTAAAGATGACATAAATGATGGTGTTTTTACATAAAATAATCAATTAAAATTAAATTTGGTTAGTTTTTTTTTTAAAAGAAAAAAGAAAAACATTTAGAAAAATTAACAACCACAACCATCAATCCACACCACTATCTCCACCAGCCAGCCACCGCCATATCCCTTCCCCTTTCACTGCCGGCGACCCCAACTACCCGACCACCTGGACTCTAGACCGCCGAACACAGACGACCCATTTGCTGTGTTCATAGTCGACCCACCTGCAATAATCTCACTCGCTGAAACCTAATCGGAAAAGGGTGGGATTCGTCGACGAGGCAGCGGAGGGGCTAGGTGGGGGTCAAATTGATGTTAGCAGCTGCCATTGTGGTCAAAATTATAATTGTTGGTGACTGAATTGTTGATTGCAAAGGGAGATTAGGGTGAAGACAGTGGTAATTAGTAAAAATCGAATTGGTGACGGTTTTAAGGTGAGCTGGGAAGTGGCTAGCGTTGATTGGTGGCGAATTGACGACTGTAGGTGGCGAATTGGTGGAGCAATTGGTGATGTGTGGGCTGCCGGAGGTTTGGCAGCTGTAGGTTGTTGCGTTGTGCTGTGATGTGGCCATCAAGCCCTCCCCGAAACCACCCAGCCAACTCTCCATTTTGAAATCGTCGTCACCATATTGCCGGAAATTAAACCTCCATGAAGGAGGCGAAATCTAGCAAGGTGAACCTTGAAATCGACGTCATCGCAAGCATGGATTGGGTCTCTGGAGGTTGAAGACGAGGTCGGAGTTGAGAATGCGGTGGTGTGTGTTGAACGCCGGAGAATTGTTGGCGGAGGAAACGAGATGGCTGGGGTTAGATGGGTTGTGTTGATGGTTTTGGGGGTTGGGGAGGGCTGGGTAGGTGGTTCCGGGGGTCGAAAAGGGGTGGTAGAGGACGACCGGCTATTTTCGGTGGTTAAGGGGGGTTGGCCGGCCATTTTTCGGCGAGATTGAGGGTTGGGGTTAGAGTTCCGGCAAGGTTAGGGGGTGGGGAAAGGGTGGTTGGAATATTGGTTTTTTTTTTCTTTCTTTTTTATTTTTATTTTTTTTAATAAATAAAATCTGTAAAATAAAAGGGGGCATTTTTGTCATTTCGCTATTTTGGTTAACCATGGTTTAATTTTATGTTAAAACACCATCATTAATGTCATCATTAGGAAAAAAAGATAATTAAGGTCATTTCGTATAATCTAAAAAAGGGGGGGTTACCGTTGGTGCGTAGCAATTGTAGGGGGTTACAATTGAGAATATGTAATAGTCTTTTCAACTCCTAAACTTAAAATAATGTAAAATCGAGTAGTCAAAAAATAAAGTTGAACTAATTAGTGCACATTACATAAACATATGAAGTATAATAAGTCTTTTCATCTCATAAACTCAAAATATATCTTACATTAATATGTCATTGCATATATATAACTTATATTAAAATATAACTATAATTCCTTCGTCTTCTTCCACAGTTCCAACCGGACTATCCTTTTCTTTTAAGTTTTAATAGTGAACTTAATATTTCTTTTTTATATTCCCTTTGTTAGCAGTGTAGCATTTATATTCCTTTTGTTAGTAGTGTAGCATTTAAAAAAAACGAAAAAAACAGAGGGGGTACAAAACAGTACCGATGGATATAACACAAATAAGCAACACATTACAAGAAAAATAATCTAAGTAATAACCTGTGCATCGAACGGGCCAAAAAGCTAGTAACAAAACTAAAGTAAAGCAATAATAATGATAAACTAAAGTAAAATAATCGTTAAAATATTAGAATATTAGAAGCTTAATATAAAACAAAGATAATAAAAAATATTAAATTCCAAAGCCAGAAAAACTTAAGTATCAAAATCCTAAATTAGGAAAAGAAAATTAAAAAAATTCTAACAAATTTATCCACGTAATTAAAAAAAAAAGCCTTAAACCTTTTTATAGTCCGGGAAAGGAGCGAGGGCAGAATCAAGCGACCGAGCTCTAAAATCCAATTAAAGAGGCTCCCACGGGTGGCCGATCATCTGTAACACCCTAGAAATAGAAAAATCTAAGACATTACCACCACCGTGAAAATGGCTAAGGCAAATATCAAAGACACACGCAGCGGAAGGCTATCTTTAAAACCATTCAAAACAAGTCAACTTAAAAAGTCAAACCAAACGAAAGTAAAGTCAAACGAAGTCAAAGAAAGTCAACCTACTACTTGGAACCATTGTAGGCCCTTAAAACCAAACAATACTGAAAACCTTTACGTTAGTCTCATGAGCATAATAAAATAAATAATATTCAAAGCAAATAAAACACATCATATTCCTATGGAAACTAAACATGATTCTCTCTTCACTCATGCCCATCATGAATATGCTTCATTACCTGAAAAAACTTCTCTCTACTTGTCCCCACTACTCACCATTAGAAATGGGTTGTCGTAGGGCCAAGGTAAAGACAAGGCCAAACAAACATACAACACACAATCAGCAATGCTGAGTACATAAGCGTAATAAAAACACACTAACATGCTTTCATCCTATCATCACACAACTTACCTTGTTGCACCTATTAACAAGCATACAAAACACTCAACACTTAACTAGACAAATACAATTGTCCATTCAATTTTGATTACGCATCGAACAGGTTTCCAACCAAATCCCTGCTCCAAATAATTGAGGTAAACTACACGGGAGCTAGCCGGGTAGGCAAATGTCACATGAAGTGACTGGACGTCATGCGCATAAAATAATTAAAAAGGAAAATACAGCGCCCTGTACTTCCAGTAGAAGTTATGGTTAAATATAAAACCCCATAACTCACCCCATATGTTCATACTCAAGGTATATACGTTCCAAGAGTTTTGGTGTGTAATCTCTTTCACTTTATATTGTTTACAATATTATTATACTTGGTGATGACTCTCAAACCATAACACAATCAAACATTATACTTCATTCAAGCAACCAAACATACCAATTTAATTCTTGAATAATTAGTGACCACATAAATTTAATTGTTGAACCCTTTTTATTCTACCTCAGTGTCAAAGGCACCTTAAACGCATAATGCGCCGCAAATCCTATCCCTCGGTGTTAGAAACACCTTAAGTGCACATAGGCACCGCAATATAATTTATTCCTGTGTACTAAGACACTTAAATAGCTCCTTTCTCATGCTTATAACATCAATAAAAAATATATGAACCATAATAAATTTTCCTTTTCATAATCCAAACCAAATTAAAAATTTAGTTTAATTAAACATGCTCTCTATCATGCCAATACTAAAAGTGTGGTTCATAATCAACGTGCCAACATAATTAATTCCAATCACCAGTTCATCTTAAACAATTCATGCATCACAAATCATTTACCAACATCAATCCAATCAACAAATTCCAAGCAACACCTATCATGATGCTACTTAGAATTAATTAAACAAAGCCTAGCATGCATCTACATATCCAAATAATTACCAAGTACGTGAACGTACCTTGAATATGATCTCAAAACCGCCACGACTAAATAAAATCACTCACTTGTAAGACACTTAAATAGCCCAATTCCCATGCTTATAGCATCAATAAAAATTATATGAACCATAATAAAATTTCCTTTTCATAATCCAAACCAAATTAAACATTTAGTTTAATTAAACATGCTCTTAATCATGCCAATAATAAAAGTGTGGTTCATAATCAACATGCCAACATAATTAGTTCCGATCACCAATTCATCATAAACGATTCATACATCACAAGTCATTTACCAACATCAATCCGATCAACAAATTCCAACCAACACCTATCATGATACTACTTGGAATTAATTAAACAAAGCCTAGCATGCTTCTACATATTCAAACAATTACCAAGTACGAGAACGTACCTTGAATATGATCTCAAAATCGCCACGACTAAATAAAATCA